CAGGAACTCAATGTTATCAATCAGAAAAAAATCCCACTTTCTTTGTTTTGCTTTCAAAAGGAAGCTCCATACTAACGCATACACTGTAATACCTAATCTATTATCCATATGACTTCAATTTAATTTTTAAACTGGAATGGGAGAACATATTTTATCATAGAAAAATATGTAGCCTATAACTAGTTACCTCCTAAAAAGCTCACTTAACTTACATTATTCAGAGTTATAATAGACGCTTAACTATTGGAATTCAGTAACATATGGGGGGAAATGTATTGAGCATCCCCATTTTGTAACAGCAGAAACTAATGGTTTCTTGCTGTATCCAGGAATAGAAAAATGTCCAGCGTACATTGGTGGCTGAATCAGAGCTTCTGGTATGGAGGGGTGGAAGGAAGACTAACATCTCCCGAAGCTGAGTGCCAGGGATTGGGTATTTGCTTCACTTTATTTTTAAGAATGTAACTCAATTCAGAGACAGTTGGTTTTAATCTCCTTTCTTTTCCTTCAAGGGTCTTAATTAGTCAGATGTCAACTTCCTACTAATGACCATCACAACGTACAACCACAGCTTCTTAATACAGAAAAAAAAAAATCACCCAAAGAGTTCTTTCTCTTGTTTTAAAGAAGTATTTTGTATTTAGCACTAAGCACAAAGACAGATAAGAAAGCAAGCAAACAGAACAAGAAGATGGTTATTAACACCAACTAAAAAAGTACCTGTCAAGGAAATGTAGTTAGAACTGGAGTGTGATGTATTTGACTGTCATTACACTGTGAATAGTTATCACTGATCAAATGAAAACTTATGACTAACCCACAACTATAACACAGGAAAATGTAAGAGTGAAAGAATTGCTGATGTTTTCTTCCAATTTATGTCTTGTACCTTCATTCCCATAAACACATCTTTCCAACAGAATACTTAAAAAACAAAACAATATTAGCATTAAAGTTTAACTCATTTTTTTTCTTTTGAAATTTGAGTCCTTTATTCCATCTGAAGATTTGCCATACACAAAGAATGACAAGTTTTTTATTTATGTATGTTACTAAGAGTAAAATTTTAGTTTTCATGTTTAAGTTTATGACTGATTTCAAGTTAATGTGTATGTATGTTGCTGTGTGTGCTGGTTCATATCTGCAACACCAGCACTAGGGAGGGTAAGACAGCACTTGTGCAAGTGTGAGGTAAGCCTGGAGACAATGTAAGACATTGTTTAAAACAACCAACAAAACAGAAGGGGGAGAAGGAGGGAAGGAAGGAAGCAAAGACAAAGATAGATAGACAGAAAGGAAGGAAGGAAGGAAGGAAGGAAGGAAGGAAGGAAGGAAGGCAGGTAGGCAGGCAGACAAGCAGGTACGATTACAAACCTGTAGTAATTAAGATACTATAGCTTACGATAAGATATATAGGTCAAGAAAACAAAGTAGGGTTTAGAAACAGACCCACATATATATGACTTAGTCCTTTTGAAAGACGGTCTTGACCTAGTTAGTAGCAGCTATCAGTTTGACATAAGCTAGAGTCACCTAAGAAGGGGGAACCTCAATTGAGGAACTGCCTAGGTTAGAATGGTCTATACGCATGTATGTGAGACACTGTCATACTGATGACTGATGTAGGTGGGCTTAGCTCACTATGAGTGGCAACATCCCTGAGTCTTGAGCTGAATAAGAAAGCTAGCTAAGGGCTGGAGAGATGGCTCAGAAGTTAAGAGCACTGACTGGTTAGTCTTCCAGAAGATCCTGATTCAATTCCCAGGGGAATTGAATCCCAACACCATTTTCTGACCTCCTCAGGTACCAGGCATACAAGTGACGCACAAACATACATGCAGGCAAAACACTCATGCACATAAAATAAAAATAAAAGATTAAAGAAAAGATTCCATTTAAAAAGAAAGAAGAAATATAGACAGGATGGATGGATGGATGGAAGAAAGGAACGAATGAAAGAAGGAAGGAAGCTAACTAGCTAGGCACAGGCCTAGGAGTAAGCCAGAAAGCAAGCCAGCAAGCAGCATTTCTCCATGGTTTCTGATTCCAATTCCAGGTTTGTGCCATAAGTTCGTGCTCTGACTTTCTTCAAAGAGGAATTGTGACCTGAAATGAACCTTTTCCTACTCATGTTGCTTTTGGTCAGACTGTTTTTAGCATAGCAACAAAGATGAAACTAGAGACACAATCAAATATATTGTATCACAAAGATATTTAATTAAAAAAATAGAACTGCCAAAAAAACTCAGTGAGAAAAAGTTTAACACACACAAACAATAGAAAAAATAGTGTTTTATATACACACACTAGAAAAAAGTGTTTTACACACACAAACAATAGAAGAAAAGTGTTTTACACACACACACACACACACACACACACACACACACACACACAGGACACAAATTATGATTCAATAAGGAAGCATTGTGACAGAACACTGGAGCACTGTGATGGCACAATGAGACACTATGAATGGAATACCAAGATGGCCCAATGGATTGGACAATGAAGCACAATAAAGACACAATGGAACACTGAGAATAAATCATTGTGAAGTCAAAATAGAGCACTGTGATGGGAAGACTGCAGACTGTCATGGAACAGTGAAGCACTGTGACAGCACAATGGAGCACTGTGATAGAACAATGGAGCACTGTGATAGAACAATGGAGCACTGTTATAGAACAATGGAGCACAGTGTTAGAACAATGGAGCACTGTGATAGAACAATGGAGCACAGTGTTAGAACAATGGAGCACTGTGATAGAACAATGGAGCACAGTGATAGAACAATGGAGCACTGTGATAGAACAATGGAGCACTGTGATAGAACAATGGAGCACAGTGATGGCACAACGGAGCACAGTGATAGAACAATGGAGCACAGTGATAGAACAACGGAGCACAGTGAAAGTACAATGGAGCACAGTGATAGAACAACGGAGCACAGTGAAAGTACAATGGAGCACAGTGATAGAACAATGGAGCACTGTGACGGCACAATGGAGCACTGTGACGGCACAGTGGAGCCCTGTGATGGCACAGTGGAGCCCTGTGATGGCACAGTGGAGACCTGTGACGGCACAGTGGAGCCCTGTGACGGCACAGTGGAGCCCTGTGATGACACAATGGAGCCCTGTGATTGAATAATGGATCATAGGAATGAGACAAGGTAGCACTACGATGGGATATTGGAGCAATGTGATAGCTGTGGTGGTTTGAAAGAAAATGGACCCCAAAGGGAATGGCAGTATTAGGAAGTGTTGTCAGAGTAGGTATGGCCTTGTTAGAGGGAGTGTGTATTTTTGGGGGGGGATTTGAGGTTTCCTAGGCTCAGGATACCATCCAGTATCTCAGCTGACTTCCTACTGTCTGTAAGACATAGGACTCGTTACTTTGCCGGCACCATGTCTGCCTGCATGCTGCCATGCTCCCCACCTTGATGATAATGGATTGAACTTCTTTATTGTAAGCTAGCCACCCCAATTATTTGTGTTTTTGTTTGTTTGTTTGTTTGTTTTGTTTTTCGAGACAGGGTTTCTCTGTGGCTTTGGAGGCTGTCCTGGAACTAGCTCTTGAAGACCAGGCTGGTCTTGAACTCACAGAGATCCACCTGCCTTTGCCTCATGAGTGCTGGGGTGACTTGTGTATTTTTAAAGATTTATTTATTTTTATTTTATGTGTATGAGTATTTGCCTGCATGAATGTCTATATATCACATGCATACAGTGCTCATAGAGACCGGAAGAGGGAGTAGAATTCCTTGAAACTGGAGTTACAGATAGTTGTGAGCTACAATGCAGGTGCTGGAAATTGAACCCAAATCCTCCGGAACAACAGCCAATCTTCTTAGTCACTGAGTCCTCTTTCTAGTCCCTATCTATTCACCCCCCCCCACCCATACAGGAATTCACTGTTTAGACCTGGTTGTCCTGGAACTAGCTCTATAGAACAGGCCTTGAATTTACAGAGATCCACTCACCTCTGCCTTCCAAGTGCTGCGATTAAAAGTACACACCACCACAGTTGGCTTCCTATCTATACACTTTAAAAGCATACATTTCACATTATGTTAGCTATAAATTAACAATAGACAATTAAAAATAATTTTATATATAAAAAATCTCAGAGCTGTGGGGTGGGGAGATAGCTCAGTGGTTAAGATCACTTAGTACTCTTGCAAAGGATCCAGATTTGGTTCCCACAACCCATGGCAGGCAGCTCACAACCATCTGTAACTCTATTACATGGCATCTAATGTCATTTGGCCTCTGGGGGCACCTGCATGCTGCATATAAACTCATGCAGCCACACATATATACACATTAAAAAAAAATTCTTAAATGGGTTCTCCCCACACAAGCCATCTTCAATCCCAGCACTCAGAGGCAGAAGTAGGTGGGTCTCTGTGTGTTCAACACCAGTTTGGTCTACATAGTGAGTGTTTCAGGCCAGTCAGGGCTACATAATGAGACCCTGTCTCAAAACAAAACAAAACAAAACAAAACAAACAAACAAAAACAAAACCAAAAAAACCCAACAAGAGGAATCACACTCAGTATTTACAAATACTACTCTTGTCAAAACAATGACATACAATAAATTTATCTGATACTCACATGGATTCAAGAACTCCCAACGCCATGTAAATTTTATGTGAATGTGAGTGTTATCTAACTCTTTAAACTCCAGAATACAAATAGAAGATGATTGGCTCAACTTTTTAAAAGATTATTTTAGGAATCATGTATAGAAACCATGCCAAAAGCTAATAAAGAGGACCATCTGTATATTCCTTAAATAACAAGATGTATATGGGAAACTACATAAAGTAGTGTGTTTCATACTGCTGTCTGTTTTCAATACATTTTGGGTTTTCCATAATAATTCAAAAATGGCAGAGACATATTGTAGTATATAAGTAACCTACTGGGTTAATTAAAACACACTGAAAACTTTTTATGAAGACAAATACATAATGGCCCAACAAGGAGTACCTTGGCAATTGCTGTCTGCTTGAACATGCACGTTATCAACCCCATAACCGTCTCCATGGCACCTGAATTTGGAGCTCTCATTAATTTTTGCCATTCTTCAAAGCTGGCATTCAGTTCCTATGTGGGAAGGAATAATATTGTTTAAGAATACAGCATCAAGAACAGAACAATTAATTCAGTCATTCATCAGGTCCTACTTTCCTCTTCTCTGTGTAGAAAGTTATAAAAAGAAAGTTCCCATAGATACCAATATGTTTATTTAAAACCATAATGCAGAGACCAGTCACATGTCTATGCTAATGAGAGAAGCTAGTGACAAGCTATGTCACACCATAATTCAAATGATTGAAACTTCCTCTTGAAAAAAAGTGTATGGAGTGAAAAAGATCTGAACACATAAGAAAACAGGGTGGTAAAATTTATTTTTGTAGTAAGATATATTATTTAAACAAGCATAAGGATGAAAGAAATATTAGTTATATAAAATATAATATGATCATAAATTGATTCTTCATTTCATTACTCTCCATAATGCTAAAATAGCAGATAAATTTGTATTTGAGAAGTACCATAGTATCCAATGTTTCTTAGATACTTTTTTAACTTCTAAAATGTAACAATGAAAAACTTCTTGTTCACTCAGTCACATCCAGAGACTGTACAGGTACTATGCTCCCCAAAAGTACATCTAGATGAGGATCAGGTAAAATAAACATTTGGTTATCAGATATGTTAATATGACATCCTACCATATTATCACAGGGTTTCACATTTCAAGAGCAGAGCTACACTCAAGTTATTCTACAATAAAGTTAAAACTTAAAAAAAAAACTTCATGTGTATGATGTGCCTCTGTGTGCACATGCATGCATGCATGCATTCATGCACTCTATGGCATATGTTTGTGTGTGATGGTCAGGGACAACTAGTGTGTGGGTCTCACCTCCCCCCTCATTTGAGACAGGATCTCCTATTGTTCACTGCTTCTGGGGACTCTGATGTCTCGGCTGCCATCTCATTTCAGTAGCACTGGAATTGTAGATGCAACTGTTATGGTACCAGTTTTATGTTCTGAGATGCCCAAGTCAAGTCCTCACAGTTGCATGACAAGCATTTCACCTATAAAGTCATTGCCCCAGCCCCAGCCCCAGGTGTGTGTGTGTGTGTGTGTGTGTGTGTGTGTGTGTGTGTGTGTGTGTGTGTATCCACAGAACATGAAACAGAGTATCTCTTACTAATTAATTACTGGGACTTACATTATAGACATCACGAATCCTTAATACTAAATAATTTTAAAATCATAGGGCTTTTTCCTATACTCAGTGGAAAATTTTTGAATCATGAGGTGCAAAAGACAAGTTAGGGCAGTCCTGCTTCACAGGCAAGTCTGTCATACATGCTAGGCCTGTAGGCCAGAGTTGGATGCCCCAACGTTGCAGAGGAACTTTGGGTGACTGTCCAGATGGCCTGATGTCCCTATCATTAGGTAACATTTCATCCTTCTGGGGTCTTTGATGGAGATGAAGACTAAATAGTTAAACTTACAGTTTTCCTTATTTATGATAGAAAGCAAATTATTTATAAAACTTTGGATTCGCTTAGATAGGATAGATAATGGAGTATTCTCTCTGATTTTGCCAAATGCAAACAGACTAGATATTATAACTATGATTCTTACTTGATAACTGTTTTTGTTGTATATAATTTTACTATGCTAACATTAAAACTTTCCTTTTTAATTAGACAAGCATGGAGAAATGCCTTGAATAGTTATTTTGTACATTGTAAATATGTATTGCTCTAATTGTTAATAAAAAGCTGATTGGTTGATAGCCGGGCAGGCAGAGATTGGGCGATACAACCCGAGACAGATAGAATGGTGGAATGAGGAAAGGTGGAGTCAGAAGAGAGTCTCGAGGAGATGCAGAGAAACAAGATGGGCATGCCGGACTGAGAAAAAGTACCAAGCCACGTGGCAGAGCATAGATAAGAAATATGGATTAATTTAAGTGTAAGACTTAGCTAGTAACAATCCAGAGCTATTGGCTGAGCATTTGTAATTAATATTAAGACTCTGTGTCAGTTATTTGGGAACTGGTGGTCTGGACAGGAAAACTCCATCTACAACTAAGAGCTGTATCTGTTACATATTTGACAATTAAAATTAAAATCTTCTTGTGCTTTTCCTGAAATGATACAAAACCAATGGACATTCTACTAATCAAACCTGTTTTAAGAAAGCATGCTTTCCTGTTAAGTATGATATGCAATCTTTAATAGCATAATTCATAATGCTTAAAGTAAGATTCTCAAGTAAATACAGGCTTTCACCTTGACAGCTGCTGGTGGAAGGTCAAATGGAATACGCTGTCTGACTTTAGGAGGCAGCTGGCTTAAAACTTCACTCTTCAATCTTCTGATCATTATGTCGCTTAGTAGCTGGTGAAGTTCACCGAGGTTTGATGCCCCTCTACAATCCCACTGACGCCTTTTACCAAAGTATCTGTTGAGATTAAAAGACAAACAGCAAAGCTGAATGCTAGAGCAGGAAATCCATGCATGTAGTATGTCCTTCCTTTTAATAATAAGGGGCAATGCGCTGTTTCCTGTTACTTCTGAATGAAAACCAGTTTCAAAAAGCTAATCTAAGGGGCCGAAGAGATGGTTCCATGGTTAAGATGGCGCACTGCTCTTGTAGTGGACAGTCTCTAGCACTCACAACAGGTGGTTCACATTTGTAACTCAAGCTCCAAGGGATCTGATGGGCCTCTGAGGGCATCTCTCTGTTTCTCTCTCTCTCTCTCTCTCTCTCTCTCTCTCTCTCTCTCTCTCTCT